CTGCTGTATTTGTACTTAATTCTACCACTGAAACGAGGTCTCTCGTTCTACGACAACAAACGAGACGGAGTTTTTGAGAGCGAAGCATTGAGAAGATTTGGGATGAAGAACGAGGAAGTAAAGGGGTGTTAGAGAAAAATACATAACTGAGTAGACATTAGCCCATCTTAGGTTACGAAGACTGGCAGAAAACAAGAATAGCTTACTCAGAAATATCACAAGCTGACTGGAACCAACGAATTCTGTTATTTTATTTACATAAAGTTTTCTAAACGACGCGATCAGTAAGTCAGATTAAAAGCGTCAAATAAATACTAAATTGGAAAGGATGTGAAAGAAGTGGTCGTGGTATATTTACGGTGGGACACCTGCATTTGCCTGTAAGGGCTGAAGAAAACTATAAAATATCTTAGTCAAGACAGCCAGTCATCGGAACGAGATTTGAACCTGGGACCTACAGGATTTATAACAGTCTGGCGGTGGTATAATCGCTGACCAGTCAAAGCAGGCAGCTCAGAATACTACTAACTTTATAAAGATCATAAATTGCTGTGGCAGGCCAGCTGAAGACAGCATTAACACTGAAGAGATAATTTAAATTAAATGCCTGAAGTGGCACTCGTATTTACACAAGAAGTCACTGGCTGTTTTGTCTAACATTTATAAGCTGTCAATCATGCTGTCAGACAGCATATAGTTTGGAGGCTGGCATCTTAAGTGCTTATCTTTTATCTTACCTTATGGCCTCAATCATCTGCAGCCCCATGTTGACACAATTGTAGGCGTGGTTGGGCCTTGATACTGGCAGGCCCGAAACACAGTAGTAGCAGTCGCCCAAGATCTTAATCCTCATGCACTGGTTGTCCTGCAAACAACGATCATTTAAGTGGAAAAAGGGCGAAAACCCAGAACTTATTAAATATATTTTTAGCTAACTGTTATCAGCATAAGAACGACAGTAAAAAAACTGCACTACGAAGATGAGTGTCTTCTGGGATGTTTCGCTGTGTAGGCTAGCAGAAGTTGCCGACGATTCGAAGGCACTTAATGCCTCTACCATCATGGGCGATGAGTCATCGCCCTGATGTTGAAGTAAGCAGAATGCAACTCTGAAACATCGAAAACTTCTACCAGACTACAGGGCTCAACATTCTAGACAACTAGCCGCTGTGAGAAACTGAAATCTCAACTGACACTGATTGCCGAAATCGAATGTTTAATACTGCAAACACCAACGTCTGTCTTTGCACACGGTTAATTACATAATTCATTACCTGTCATGCACACAACCTATGTCCCCCAGATATATTTTAATGCTATTTTCATATGTCCATCATAATATTTCTTATCAAAGTTTCCCATGAATTTCTAATCCAAACTTATATATGCATTGCTTGTTTCCCTTACGTTGGCAAAATTCCCAGCCACCCGCAGACTTCTATATTTCATTATTCTAACAACACCAAGTGACCTGCATGAACCAGCAGTTCCTGGTTGTGTAATATCAAGTTGATCATTTATTTAATTCTTCTCAGGTCCGCATATGTTCCTGAACAATATGTTTCCGCTTTTAATGTCTGAGTATAGAATTATTGGACCTTGACACCTGAGTGTATAATGATCATGCGCAAAACGGCTCAAATACGCGATCGAAATATACCTTCGGGGCACGTGCCATTGTTAATCGAAACTCGGACAGCCGGAATTGATTCGTTACCTGAACACACGTAATGTTTAAACCACTCAGTTTCGGTAATTAGCTTTATTAGAGTTCGGATCTGTGACTAAAGATCCGGCAGCAGGCAGATTACTTCAGGCTTTCTGAATTCATCAGAACAATTAAAGGTTTGTAATTTAGCACAGTACAATACTGTGTGAATCCGCAAACAGGTCGCCTTTCATGCCAATTGTTAGTATTCCAAGTAGAGAAATCTACTTAAACTAACGACTTTATATACACTGCGGCTTGTATGTGACTTAATATTGTAGTACTGTTGTTAATTTTAATATCAAAGTATATCTAATTTCAAAGTAGTAGTATTTTACGACTTGTTATAGTACCATTTCATATGGATTCTTGTTATCCCTATTAAATAGAAAAGTCTTTATTGATTTTAACAACCATTGTGTTGTTGTAACCTATAAAATATTCAATATTTTGCATTGACATCATGATGCCCGTCCAAAATTTGATGAATATCTGGTATTTTTGGTAGAAACTGATGAAGACTAGCAGACACATATATAAACACACATAAACAAATACGCAAACATACTCACGCACAGGTGTAAATTATCTTGCATAAGCAACGCAATGTGTTTTAAAGCAGTCTATGTGCTTATCATCGTCTTGGTTATGAAATGTAAGTGGAAAAAGAGAGGATGAAGAGAGAATTGCTTTCGATACAAATTAAGAAGTTGTGCAGTACAGAAAGGTATAAAAACTGGAAATCAAGCACCTCAAAGTTAATTTTAAAATTGAAAATTTGTAAAGCATCAAACCAGAGTGCAGTGGAAAATAACAACGGAATATTATGGTAATAAGCGGTGTTGTCCAATATGAAGGTATAATTTGCCTTGTAGGAGGGAGGGTGCACAAGACTCAAGTCAAAATATCACGTCTCGGGGCTGGCAAACAAACTGGGACCTCCCAAATACAAAGAAAAAGTGCTAACCACAAAGTTCAGTATTTTAGTTTCGTAGGGTTGAAAGAATGAGAAAAGTGATGAAAAACGTTTTTGAAGGCAGCCACTGTAGGTTGTTTTAAGGTGTGAGCACAATCCCGGAATTAGCTTGGAGAGACCAAGGAAAATTACGAAACGCCTAAGCCAGGATAACCGGTGGCCCGACCGAGACTCTGCACCAGCCTTCTCGGTGCGTTATTACCAGAGTAGTAACCTGTAACACGCACCTGTGCAATCTGGTCGAAACGTCCGAACAATTCGTTAAGAGTCATAACCAAGTCCGAGGCGCTCAGCTGCTCAGACAGCGGGGTGAAGTTGACAATGTCGGCATACAAAATGCTGCAAAGAAGAACACAACACTTTATTAACTACTGGTCATATTATATTATGTTGGACAATGTCCACTGATTGAGGCATATCACCCAGACGATGAAGGTGATACGTTCCTCCTAAACACTGGTAACCTGCAAGATCACACGGCCCCACACCCAAAATGACCACAATCGACATATTTGATACAAGTTACGCGACATTTCAAAAGCTGGTTCTATATCCGCCTTCAGACTACTGATCTGCATTGCCATGACAAATGTTGGTTAGCATTGGCGGCTGTGGTTCCACTGGAGTACCAAGGTTACCGCCACTGACATAAAAAACAGCGTCGCCAGAAAATGTGTTTAGGACGAATTCTCTAGAAGTCGCGTACTTCGGCTATATTAAATACACATCAGACAGAGCGCAATTTCCAAGATAATATTTGTATAAATAATCAGTTAGTGTGACAAACCTTCAGAGAATCATTAACTACTCATCACTTACAAACGACTCACAACAGATGCAGAGGGTGTTGCTGAAAAGCTGACATTTCACGGAAAACTTCCTCCTAAGAGACAATTTATTCTAAAGAGACGAGCATGAGACATGCCTATACAATCAGACTTGAGTGTTTCTAACAACTTTAAGTACTTTCTGTAAAGCTTAGATCCTGTGTCCCAAAATACCGACACTCTTACTGCAGAATAACCTAACAGCAAAAGAAATTTAATCCGCAGCACTTCGTCATAACAGAATCACTTTCTATTTATTAAGTTAAATAACAACTCCTTATCAAGTGAACAGAACACCACGTAGCGTTGAGTGAATGGTAGAATAGCTCTGAACGATGTTTAAGGAAACAATTGTGACTGGCTATGTGTCTGGAAGGACTGAGGAAAGCCACCGAAACCTCATTCCGTATAGGCGCTCTACAATTCGAGGTGGGAGTGCCATCAAACAGGCAAGTTTTATCCCACAAGTTGGCTTTGTCGAGTAGCGCGTTCAAAGTAATTGAAGGGGTTTGGTGCTAAAATGATCTACCTCCAAACAGACCGAAAACAACATTTGAAGCTGTCAGTAAGGCCTTAGGGCGGTTGGTAGGAGAATAAACGAATAAACGATAATTGCATTTAGGGTGAATGAAACGACAGTAGTCATTCTTCTACCTGTGGTAGATGCAAACACTTCAAACGGTACGACAGCTTGAACGCAGTCCAGCCACCGCACTTTGCGACCACATATTCTGACAATGTAATGAGGGCTGGCAACATTACAATTTGCGTGGTTGCTCTCTCTCGTTAATTCCTGAACCCGCATTAAGTCTTGCAAGAATTCAGGATGAAAGGCAAAGGGATAAAATTAAATGTGTACTTCTCTGTATATTTTTAAATTGTGTTAGTGTCTGCTGTTGTCATACTGCAAGCTTTAACGAGACAAATTTGGTCTAACAAAGGTTAACTCGTTGTTTCATAAACATAATTAAATTGGTATTATATTTGTTGCATTATCAGACAACAAACCTCGTAAACAGAAGTTTCGATTACTTGCGGAAAAAGTGGATAAACTGCATATACATAGAGAAATTGTTACACAAGTTAAATTTAGAATTCCAGAAGACCACGTGCCGACGATGGAACGAATTGCGGAAGTACGCTCTGTGGCCTCTTTCGCTTCCGAATTCAATATGAAATCTTAAGTCCTTTAGATATCTGTTACGAATTCCTGGAAGCAGGATCAGCCCATCGCCTCGCAAGACCTATTACCTACTGACAACACAACATAAGAGAAAATGTCGAATTACAATGCCCCGTAGTCCAAGATACCACGCACTTCAGAACACTCGGTCACTGTAATTGACATAAAACAATAATAATATTTAAAAAATGGTCCTGACCAACCATAAACGAAACGAATATGGGGACAATCGTTATGAGAGGAAAGTCTCTGGACCTTTTCTATTATCTGGATAGAAAATATATGATCTTTCGGGTCAACAACAAAGTAAAGTCCAAACAAAGGTATCCCATAACAATGCTGGATCGATCTCACAACATTGATGATGATAACCTGAGACACTAAACCTCAAGGGGATCGAGCAGAGTGTGAACATATATATATATATATATATGAATGAATTTGTAATGCACATATTGCTTACCTGACATTGTTGTGTCTTTGTACGTACATCTCGTGAAAGCGAGTCTGTTTGTTTGACATTTCCTGGCAAGCGTCAGCCATCTTTAGCATGATACTTCGCTTCACCTGGTAAAGGAATCAAAACAAAACCTCCATGAGATGAAGGTAGACAGGTAAGTCCGTGAGCTATTGCTAACAGATGTAAATGAACATTTGACCCGAAACAGGCGACACACTCAAAAATGTTTCATGAAACGACCAAGAAGCAACGATTCACAGATTGCTTCGCTTTTATCGATACATATATAATCTTGCATGTACACTGTGAGAAAGTATCGTAACTTGTATTATAAATAAAACTGCTGCTGAAGTTACAGGAATTTTGATATCTTTAATTAACAGAGAAGTGATACAATCTGTGAAAAGTACACATCTCACATAAGACTAGAACAACCAGCCCAGGTTGACTGACAGATTAGAAACGGCAGCTTCAAAGCGTGAGTGGTTACTGGTCGTGCATTTGACTAGTGGCCTGTTATGTACCCAGGCATTCTGCATTGGCATGATGTCTTCAACGATGTTCAGATATAAACGAGCAACTGCATATATTCTTAAAATCGGTTAGAGTATAGTATAGAATTCTAAGCTCTGATACTCTCAAACACATGCAGCGTCGCTATGCCTGCATTTACAACACAAAAGGAAAGCTATTTGCACAGATTCGTTGGCATGTTCATAACCTGTCACCAGACGAAATTATGTATGTCAAAATTCAATTATTGGTCTGTTACTGACATCAGACCAAAAAACAAATACTTATTTCGCAACTTCGTCCTGATTTCATTACAAATTCTTAAAAATGAAACAACTTTGAATAAGGAATTCGTGTTTTACAATAATATATTTCCATACAACGTTTCAGGACCACAGACTGACACGTCGCGAGCTACTGATGACTGGTAATCGATTATCGGCAAAGGGTAAGGGGTTTACGAAAGACACTTAATTTCTGAGTCCATTTTCAACCTCCAAGACAAAGGACTTTTGCAACAAATTTTGACTATTAAAAATTCTGAGGTATATTTTAAGACTTAATATAACAACATTATATTTCTTCCACAGGCGATAAAATGATCAAGAAACTGTAAAGTGCTTCATGAAATACAGTTTAATTAGGTGTTGACAAGGGCCTGTCATTGTAACCTATTTATGACATAGATAAATTCAGACCACAATCTCACACTGTTTTTTTAATTCGTATAAATATTACCTACGATTTGAGGTTTTCACAGCGGTAAGTCCGAAGATGGCTAGTTAGTTAGTTCGAATTACTTAACGGCAGTGATAATTATTCAATGTAGTCCGAAGATGGCTAGTTAGTTAGTTCCAATTACTTAACGGCGGTGATAATTATTTAATGCCTGTAATAATGAGTTCAGCTAATCCATGTTCCAGGCTGTGAAGATGTAACGGCCATCAGAGTTCTGATTTTAAACATTATTTGGCTTTTCATCAGATTTACCATAGCGTAATGCAGCATGTATGTTAAGCTCACAAAGTTCGGGACGTAGGAAGAAGATATAGGAAAATTAAATGTACGAACAGGCGAGGAATCTAAAGCATAATTCCATAAAAAGGACTTTATTGAAGCATTATAAGTGAAGAGCAGTAAATATAAGAAGATTAAAAGGAAGAAGACAAAGAGGAAGACGACAAAAGGAAATTAAGAAGAGAAGCAGCTCAAGGGTAAGAAGATATTAAGACAAAGATGATGAAGAACATAAGTGTAGAAAGAAAGAACGCGGAGAAAGATGTATAAATAAATAATAGAGCGGCAAACACTGACTGTATCTTAAATCAGTCGTTCTCACCCTTTTCCAGACCTGAGACCACATCCAAATTTTCTTATCGACTAGTGGGCAACAAGTTTATAAATGGGGACAATTTATTAACCTTTCTCCATTCACATTCATATATTTAGGCGCTACGTAACACATGCTGATAAAAAGGGTATTGAAATAAAGTGTCTCATTCGAATATACAGAACTTACGCTCTGCAATTCATATGGTGTCGTTTAAAGAACTTACGAGCCATCAACCAAAGAACGTGTGCTCAGAATAAGACTTTCTTCGTTAAGAAATGCGCTTTCATTCACATGATGAATAAACCAGCGCTCTGACGGAGTCAAACCAAATCTCGTGACACAATGCTATCGTTTCCCAGCATGAAAAGCGCTATTCTGTCAATGTACAGAAACACGACGGAAAATTGGTACGGACTTCTCTGGCTCCAGTTGAAGCAGAATGACATTGTCCTGGTTGGACCTTGAAGGGTCTCCTTCGCTTTAGAACTTCGTATTGGGTCTTAAGTATGAAACTTTTCTCGGCGGACTTCATTTCGTTTGAAGCAACTGATGTTACAGATTCTATTTCTATATAACGTCTGTCGGCATTTTCTGCCGTATTACGAATGAAGTCACAGTAACAGGAAGTTAAAACTTTTGCAACGTTCCTACTTAAAGAAAGCGCAGGCAAACAAATAAACGTGTACCTTACGGAAAACTTCTTTCTTCACACGAAAAAATAAAAAAATACATGGCAATTCTATTGCTAATGATAAGTCTTAGCTTTCGTATACTGGGAATTTGCACTTTACTTGGCGAAAGCGTTTTTCTGGGTTTCAATGTCTGTAGATGCCAAAGGTTCGGAGAAACATACTGTCTCCATTTTCAGCACTTCAGCATTGAAGATGGAGATGTTTCGCCGAAACGTTGGTATTCACTTGCACGGTGTTAATATCCAGAAGAACATAGTCATCCTCACTGCCGTGAGAACCTCAACACCCTGGAATTCTCCTTATATCTATTTCAGTTAGATGATTACGTAACATCAGTAGAACCAACTCCACGGATACATTTAAGTTAATGACTCTGTCACCTGAGGTAAATGTTGGAACAGCACCTTAAATCTGGACGTGATAATCAGTAACAGTCAGCACACGCCATCTCTTTCATTCTAAGGAGGGGGCGAGGGGTGTATTGATTAGGGTAGGGAGGATTGTATTAGTACGGGGACAAATAAAAGAGCCTAAATCGATATGTGATACTCCAGACGCGGGCCGATATCGTGACGGAACAGACGATGAAATAAGAACATTAATATCTGCAAATATTTACTTTCAATAATCACAATTTGCATAATCATAATAAGAGAACAAAGTTTCTATATATTTCACACTGAAAGGTTAGGACGAGGTGTTGTAAAGTGTCTCAGTGAATTCCTCAACAAACAAATTTCGAAACATAAGCAGTAAGAATATTCACGTCCACTTTTTATTGCATTAATGCTAATACGTTTTGTTGATTCAAAATATAAAAACTGAAACATAAGCAGTAAGAATATTCACGTTCACTTTTTATTGCATTAATGCTAATATGTTTTGTTGATTCAAAATATAAAAACCAGTATCATTTACTTTACTGTTACTTTTCGGTTAAACGCCATACGACGGACATGAATATTTTAAATTAATTTTCATACTCTTGCCACTGATATAAATGCTTCCATATTAATACAGGATCCAGTTACCTTTATAAAAAATATCACATTCTACAGTTATCGAATGACTGAAAGTTGTTACACATAACCTCAAAGCCTTCGCTTGCGGCAGACAAACACGGAATTCAGAATACACAGTCATTTTCATTTCCAAGCTTCACCTTTATTCTATTCCACCTGCATTGCATAGCATAAAATAGAAGAGCAAATAATTACAAATGTCGATCAAATATCAAGTCATGAATTTATATTTCGCGACGAAAACAGCATAGGAAAATATTTTACACATCCTCATAACGTCTATAACCATTTCAAATATCTTCGCTTTACAAAAAAACTCAGTGATTTGACTCCGACATCAGAAATTTGAAATAACAGCGTAATTAAAACGGTGAAGATATAACTTTACGACATTTCAGAAAAAGCGCGTGGGCGATATCTGGGTCTTAAGAAAAGACATTAGTAACAAAGACTTGCAAAAAATACATAATGGGAAGGCGCATAATTTTTATTCTTGATAAAATGTTGATAGGGTGATAACTAATCAATGTCAGCAAACTTAGGTAAATATATATCTTGAAATTCATTACTGTGGATGGGATGATAATATAAAAATTATATTGGACAAAGACGGAAAGATTAATTTAATTGAAGACGGAATAGGTCAGAATGTCAAATCTATAAGAAAGAAGAATAAATGAGGTGTGAAGTCGAGGACCGGAATTAATTACTTCAAGGAGAGGGCACAGTGACGGGCACACAATTACGGAACTTGAGGTTATGTAAAAGCCGGCAGTTTCTTGACCAACTCAATAACTATCAACTATTAAAGAACAGACTGACGCGGAGTTATTTTGTTGTGTTAGAATTTGTGATGTTATTCTTCGGCGAAACACCTTTTATTTTACAGGTGTTTGGACTTATCTATGAACCATACAATCCATTTGTAAGATAATTAACCTGGATTTGCTCTTCATGTAAAATAGATACATTGTATAAATATAGATACAATTTATATTAGCCTCCCAATTTTGGGTACAGAACTCAGAAAGCAGTCAGCGGATATCGATAAAATTCAATATTGGAATCTACACCCGAAACTGTGAGATGAATATAATTCTAATCTATATTCATATAGTTTTTACTTTACATGAAGATCACGAACAAACTTAATATCAAAAATGAACTGTATTAATATATGTAGGTCTAAATACCAGAAAATGCAGATTTATTACGATTTGAATTTTTATTTGAAATGTATTGCGATGCTGTATAAACTGTACGACGATATGAAAGAGTCAATTATTTTTTACTATGCATAGAGATTTGAAGTGAGAACATAATTTTGTCTATAAGAAATTAACATTATGACCAATGAGGTCCGCAATATTGCGAATAACATAATCGGAAACGTTTTAACTCCACTGCAGTAAAACTTCTTACTGTTGTTCTAAAAGAATTTAAGGAACATGCCACTGGAAGGTATTCGAAACCACTCATCTCAGATGAAGAAAACCGCCAAAAAGGGACGAACGAAAGAGAAAATAGCGAGAATGCAACAGTGGAAATTGTTGTTTTTGTAGCTTGTCCCATACCGTCCATCAACTATTTACTCCAGATTTTCTTATAACCCCAAGAAACCGAATGTATGGGTCAAACAGGCCCAAGGCAAGGTCTGGCGAATCTTTTCACTGAAGTTGAGATACTGGTCAAAACGTAAGTCATTGTGAAGACGGTCAATGTGTTAGCAGATTTCAGTTTCCAATAACGTTTTCAGGTTAGTCTCAATATTAGTCTATCGCACAGGCATCTAATGGCCCGAAGATATCGTACACTATTTGTACTGGGCGAATCAAAAGTCTCTGTGTACCCGTAAAACCACGTATTGGAAGTAGGACACACGCGTTACGTACACCACCTAGGACGCGTGTGTGCGCAGGAAATCTCTGAGTCATTACCCACTTCCAGCACTTGTTATTATACGTGCACAGGGGCTTTGAATCACCATGTAGAAACAGCACACTACGTTTATTTCTGTAGTTTCGTAGTTCCTATTTGTCGTTAATGATAATGACAGCAGAACAACTTTATCATAAACCCGAGAAAACACTGACACGACAGTAATCGAAACAACCATAAAAGATAAGTATTATCAAAACATGAAGGCAATTACGTCTTTTTTACAGTTCGGTACTTCGTTTCCTGGTGTTCTTCACGCTCTAGCGTGAGCGAAGGATCCCTGTGGGCCCGTACATGTATGACGCCTTCTTCCTAGGAACTCAGGCAACCCGCATGGCTCAGGGTTAGTGATGAAACACAGTGGTGCCTGTTGACTTTGGTACCAAGTAAGTAATAGAGTTTAAAAGAAACAATAATACAATGGCTTTAGTTCAACCTTGTCCAAAGGTCCTCTGCTCCGAGGAAAGAATACCAAGGACTATGAAGGGAATCTGGGAAAATATTTTATATTTTATCTAAGAGATACAAACGACGAAACTGAAGAAAATTACATCCTACCAAGAATCATGACATGTTTTCTCTTATTATTAAACGTAAGCTTGCTCATACAAAGGTGCTTTCAAGCGAACTAAGCAAAATGTTGCTTTGGGATGCCACGTTCACGAGCAGTGTGAATGGAAGACAAACACTGAAACTTTATGTAGAGAAATACATAGTGGCGACAAGGCGGTGAAAGACTGTATAATCAAGTGGCTGGATTTTGTTACCGCACTAGTAAATACTGTGAGGTTACATACTACTGTGAATAACTGCTGTTACTTGGCCTCCTATCTGTGCGAAATGGGAGGAGAGAGGTCAGAAGGGCAAATTTAAATAAAACAAAGCGTAAAGGCCATGTAAACAATAACTTTCTGTAACGCAATTTTGTTATTTGTTTTAGATTTTATGAAATTAAACAAAAAATGTCAGAGGTCTGCTTAATTTACTCTTTTAACTTTTTAGGATTTAAATTTACATTCTGTGCCAAAACCATCAATAAGTTAGTAATGTTGAGTATCCGCCTGCTGCAATTAACACACAACGCCTACTGACGCCGCCAACTGTTTTTAGTAAATGTAGAAAGAATCTAATGGCGTTCAGTTTGAATCGCAACGTCTTCACATTCTTCAACTTAAAGTTAAACAAATTGTAAAGAATTTAAAACTGAAAGTTGGAGCATGCTACAACTGTATTCATCATTTAAGCAGAATTTTCTTGTATATAATAAGAAAATGAGCACAAAATTACCCAAGAACGACAAAAAAAATTATCGAAAAACTGAAATACAAAACGAAAATAAAAAAGGAAAAAATAGAGACCACCATCGCATTTTTTCCTTCTTTATTCTTATTGCCTGCTGCATGGCATTATTACATATTTTATATTCTTACAAACGATGTTAAGTTGGAATTTTGGTTTCAACAAAGAACAAAAAAACTGTTATCTTAACAAAAGAAATTCTTGACTGCCTTGCAATGTTTCGCTGCCATAATTTATGGAACCATTTATTAAACTAAGTACGATATGTCTGAAATGCTGCCATGTAACACAAACGTTCCTAAACACGCCGGTGTCTAATAATGTTCACAGTCGATCAGACTGCTATTAGAACAACACTTTCCGTCTACTTGAAAATAACAACACTGGCATAATGCAGTCTAGTTACGCGTTATGTTATAGAAATCATGGCAGCAACTGATAAATCTTTGTGGGCTAATTACAGACTACAGCATTTCGTAGCTGCCAGCTTTCAGTGTTCGAATATGCCAGATGCATATTATATCAGGAAAGTCAGATTTTCGTCTGTATTCCTTCCCGCTTCCTTACAACGCAATGTCATTAGTAGTTGATAAAGTTTTTAAGTGTTATTTAAGTCTAAATGTACGTATTCACTTGCCACAGTGATGAATAAATGAGGGGATACAAAAATTTCGAGAATGTTACAATGCCTCTATACATCAATTAGTTTCGAAGTTCATTAAATTTGCACAAGTTTTAAATACCGCAAACCTTCTTTAAGTGCATCCTATTCATATGTTCAACTTAACTTCACAATTCTGTCAACAACTCGTTAAAAACTGTAATGAGGTTTTGTACAGTAATTTCTAAACAGTTGAATTAGTTCAGTGTAGTTTTTGGCAGATAAAGCACAAAGAGATTACGAGCCGCTAAAGTAACTAAGTACACGACTTAACTTTGACCTTACACACAGTCCTCTGACTCATAAGGTGACAAGTGTTTGCTTTACTGTTTTCAAGTCTTAAGAGAAAGCTTCGAGACAAACTTAATGCAAACTGCTTTACGTCCTACAGAAGCCTGCGTCAGTATTCGTCCAGGTCTGCTATGCTGGGTCAGCTTCGAGTTCCATTAATCCCACAGCTCACAGGACATCAGGATGATACAGAATAGGGCTCATCAACCTGATGATGCAAGTAAGCCCCTACGAAACTTCGGTCAATTTTTACACTACACAGTGTAATGTCCCACAAGTCAGTCATATTCATAATCGTCGACGTAAGAACCTAAATCTCATTTTGTGATGATACTGTTATCTTATAATTTATGATTCTTCCCCACCAAAACACTATCCCTTTACTCTGGCAACAGAAAGTAGATATTCAGGCATTGTTTTCCAATGTACCAGCAATTATTTTTCATTATTAAACTGGTATCTGTTGTTCGTCAGTTCTTCTCCGATATTTTGATTGTGATTATCAAACATTTTTTTATTTTGTGACCTATCTGACGTAATATATTTCTGCCTCTTCAGTCGTATAAACTATTTCATTAACATCCGACATTTGGATTTCACTGTATTCGGGGTACTACTAACTTAATCTGTACATTTATGACAGCGTGTTTATAATTCCTTCCAGAAGCTTCAAGGATATTTATTTTGTCAGATAAAAGACGATAACTTGATGTTTCGATTTTGTCTTTATTCTTCTACATGGTTTATTTTATTTCGTTTAACTACTTTCTTCAACCATTTCACGGAACACAAAGCAGACGTCAGGCATGAGATTCATAGATAGTCGTAGACTTGAAAGAAAACAGCGAATTCAGAGAAGCAGGAAAATTCTGAATTTTGAGAGGAATTTACATAAAACAGAACTAATTAGCTGTGAAGCAAATGAAAGTACAATGTGATTGTATTTAAGAGTTTGTAAATCACCCCGCGAATTAAGAGGAGTGACAAATGTGAGAACGAATGATGAATAAATGAAGTCGTTGACTCGATGCTAGCCGGTTATAAGATCTAGCTCCAGTTTAAAGAGTAAATCATTTAATGGGGGACGAAGGAAAATGTGATCAGGAATTTGAAGAAAGTTTTAGTTCAGTAGAATGCTTTCTGTTGACGGCAGAATTTCGGAAGCAAATTTCATTTGCTTTAGTTGTATTCCTTTTTTCTGTTCAGTTGAATTGCAACGAGAAAGAATACAAAAGGAAAGCAGAAGAGTCAGAGCAGAGAGAAATTTTTGTAAGAGAAGTGACAGACACTTCATTCATGTAGGGTTGAAGAGAGGCATTTTGCTAGAAGGTTCCCAGGCTTTGCTGGCTCGTCCTTCTTACAAGGTGGCTGAATGCCAGTGAAAGCTTCAAGGCCGTAAGGCGTAGAGGCTTGAGACCTAAACACATAATTTTGATTTTCTGGTTAATACAGGCTGATCGAAACGTAGCGCAACCCATTCCCGACACAAGTTCCAAACGTCAAAAAGCAGATTACATTGAAGTCAGAAAATACGGTGTTGTATAACTGTTAGAAGTCACCGCAAGAGTATCGGGAAATGTATCCCTAAATTAATTCTGGCAAGTTGAGCGAGAACGAGAAGCCAGGTAGTGTTCGACAACGAACACTCGTCACACTTGTGAAAAAGACGTCCTTGCACTGACAACTGGCGGACTAATGCCAGCTACAACTTGACGTGACCTGCGTGGGCTCTTATGCAGTCAGACATTGTGCCTTTATTAATCCAATCGAAATGTATTAAGCTGCAACCGCCAACAAATATTTTAATATTGGGTGCGAACCTTTTCGACTACACTGAATACGTGGAAAGAGGTTAATAAATAATAAAAACATATTTTTTTTGGAACCGACCACTCAGAAACCATGCAAGTGGCAATGCGAATGAAACGGCTAATTTTGCAGAAATCCTGCAAAGTGCTTGTGCGCTTACCTCGGCTGCGATGTAGGCTGGTATGACACTGAGCAGCAGCTGCTCCTGCTGCTCTTTCTCACATTCGAGTTTGACTCGCGATTCGATGCAGGTCCGCGTGCCCACGAACGTGTCGTGGTGAGCGGCCTCCGTCATGTGTCGGTAATACAGACCGCTGCCGCTCGCACACAACAGGAACAGCGCTTCTGCGCCAACCTGAGGAAGGCAGGTTTTCAGAACGTGGGAAGTGACGTAAAGAAAAAGTGCATAATGAGGCACTTTATGATGTCAACCTACTTTTGTCTTATTCCTATTAAGATGATATGCACGAGACATGCAGCAGACGTGAAATCCTTGAAAAAATGTTTACACCAGCGTAGACAAGGAACCTTGTCAGAGGGGGGGAGAGGGAACTTGTCAACTATCAAAACATGCAGCTTGAACAAGTATTTAAATTTCTAATAATTGTTAATCAATGCCAATTTTAACCATTTCTCTATTTTAGTATAATTTAAATAATCGCATAGATCAGTCAGTCAAAACCACCCCTATCTGAAGATGGCCCATGTTGAATCGAAACATGCAGTGGAATAAACCAATGAATGAGTAAAACCAAATATAGCAGCTCCGTGGACGAACTGTTTGTTATTTAATTAGCTTGAGTAAAGTTGGGTTAGGTTATGTTAGATTCGAGACGCAAATGCGCAGAGCTATATGAATGGATTGAGTTCAATTCCAAATCGGGTGACTTTCGTTTAATCACCGTGTCTCTAAAGGCTTTGGAGGCGCTAAATTTTTATTTAATGTTAGCGATGCAAACATCCACATAGCATTGCTTTAACATAAACAAATTTATATCCAAATTTGTTTAGTTCAAGTATTTGCTTTTAAATTCAATTTGCGTTTGTTTCAATTTCACATGATTTGCTTCTGTTAGTATATTTATTGCAATAAAAATAGTCCGCGTTTAAGCTCGCTCTGTTGTTGATAGAAATAACAACATTAATAACGATAACACAAAATAAACCGCGCGCTGCATTGGTGATGAAATAAAATGACATCGCGTTATTAGACCATATTCTGGCCTCATATAATAAACTGTTGATATCAGATATGGTGCGACTGTTACCACTTTAAAGGGAAAAGTTCATTTAAGAAAAACATATTGCAAGAATATATGACACCTTCAAATATTCGGATAATCATTACTTTTCAATGAAAGGATTTTCTTTCGTCTTCAGGTTTCAAGGGAGACAATTTGTCGGATGCGGTAGGCCGAGCTATTCTCGTTCGGCTGACCACCGGAAGACGAAGGAATATGTTACCTTCAAAAAGTAGTATATCTAAATCTTCTTTAGAAACACATTCAACAGACGATGAATAAAGTCCAAAACAAAACAGTAATATAATACCATAGCCAAAGAATTTCAGAGAAGAATCGAAATTACCACATTCTTATGCCTAACGGTCACTATGCACATGTTTTTATGCATTCCCACCACAGAAATATTAATCTCGGATTTCCTTTACGTCACTTTTCACACACGTGCACGGAAAACCAATATCAATCTAACACACCGGGATGCTACGCCACATCTTACCTGTATGTAGAATGATGAGTCCTGAGTGTCCGGGCGCCAAGCAACGGCGAGTGCAATATGTACAGTGGTAAGGATTGCTGCCAGAATGAGGGAGACGGTCCTTGAGATGGGCATCATTGTATGAATAGCGAGCAGAAGAGCGAACAAAGGTAACGGGGCTGTAGGCCATCCCAGGGCTAGGATCCCCGTTCCAAGAACACCGATCACCACGAGCGACACGCCCAGGGCTGAAATGTCGGAGCGGAGAAGGCACGCACATTGCCCAACTGCGAACACTACCAGACACGTCACTGTCATGGCGACAAGAATCAGCACGGGCATAAGGGATACCTGCAAGCAAGAACACATACGCAATAAGTTCCTAATTGCATCTGGCTGTTCTGTAATTTATGATTTTACTTATTTCTGTTAGTTTGCTTAAATAGTACCAAATTCTACTGGATTGCGACCTTCTGGATTATTATTTTGCAGTGTACTATCTTGCTTGAAGATGGAGATAATCAGTTGTTTCTAAACGTTGTATATCATCTACAACACTGTGACGTGTTATAGCACAGAACATAACAATCCAAATATTCGCCACTGTCAATGTTTCGAGTCTCACATAAATTCGACTGGTGGTTAACCACGTTTGTTTCACTGGTCATATGTAATACCAGGTACTGTCTGCCTGAGCAGAGAATTGACTCGACCTTCAAACAGAAGTACCCATACGCGTAGAAACAACCGTTCTAACACGAGGTATAGACACATCGGTTAACTCTCAGTTCTCCATTACTTTTCTAGCGTTCTCGTGTTAGCTGGTCTGTATTCTAACTAACCGACTAACTAACTAGATGGCTTACCGAACCCGAAGGTCCATCACCGAATTAACCCAAGCCCTCCACCGGACTCTGTCCTGGGCCAACAAAATCCAGTCTCCTTCAACTCCTATCTCCCATAGATCCCGCCTGAGATTATCCTCCCATCTACGTCTAGGTCTCCCCAGCGGTCTCTTCCCCTCAGGCTTCCCAACCAATACCCGGTGCACATCTCTTGTCCCATCCATGCGCGCTACATGTCCCGCCCATCTCATTCTTCTTGACTTAATCACCCTGACAATATTGGGGGAGGAGTGCAGATTTTTAAGCTCATCATTATGCAGTTTTCTCTATGCCCCATCGTATTCTCTCTTAGGCCCAAACATCCTCCTCAACACTCTATTCTCAAACAGGCCTGTATTCTGTTTAATTAAATTAAATTAAATTTTATTGCGTAATTTTGGGGTAGAGTCCGCTGTACCAGAAAATCTGAGAGGGTAGCCGTTCGCGGTAACAAATTTTAAGGCACATCAGTCCACAAAATGTCCCCTTGCTTCGTCTTTACGAATTACACCCGTGTACAGTTGTTCTGTCTGCCCAACTACGTCAACGCTACGTATCCTTTCATTAATTACGTCATCCTGTTACTCACAGATCCAATTACTTCAGATCCAGGAAGCTGGAAACTCATTATCGCAAACGCAACCTTCTCATGTCCATCACCGTTACTTTGAATACAGCAGTTGCTGGCTCCCCAAGTTAAAGAGAACGGTAATTTTACTGACCAGGGGTACTCGCGTACACATCTTGCAGTGTTGTTGCACACTACAAGACAAAAAACAGTTGCCTGGTAATATAAAACTCGCTTTGTTAATGTCGTATTTGGCAGTACCTACTGCTGTGATAAACTGTACAACATAATGAAGAACGTAAAATTAAGAACTATGATGGATCTTGCTGATGCACAGTTTGGAGGGAAGTACGCGAATCGGGAACAAGAGTTATTAAACCTGATACGGAAAAAACCTCAAGCGAAAACAGGTTCAAATATTCCACTATTCATTTATTTTCTTAAAGAAAAGCAGGCCTATTGAGTTAAATGTTAACCCGTTTGAAACAGTAGGTCGTATTTAGTAAAATTTAAACCCTTTGGAACCGAAGCCCGTCTAAATAATATTTAAGAACCAAGTACGTACTTCAAAGAAAACAATACTTCACCATTGCAAGGATCAATTTGTTAATGCTATTTAAGAAAATAACTTCTCATAATGCACGCTCAACTAACTGTTGAAGCAAGTGGGACACAGTTTGCACTGAACTTCAAAGAGTTTAAAAATTTCCACAGCGTTTCAGTAAATTGTCATTGCTTACAAACTTGCGGCCAGGGAGTCCATAAGGACGAATATGGTCCCAAAAGTTGAGCCATGACGATTTGAACAGATTCCAGTGACAGGAATAAACATTCTATTGTGCTGACAAAATGAGATGGTCTGATGGAACTTTGCACAGTGGCCAGGTTCAGCGATTGGCTATAAGGTTGAAGATGATTATCTTCTGGGTTCGCCCTGATGATGAAGGCAGCAAGCACTCTGAAACATTTGTAACCTTTTACCAGACTACACGGTCCAACAACCCAAAACACAGCAAGCTTCATATTCAAATCTAACGATTGCAAGATTGTTTATCGACGTTTTAACAGCATGGGTTATTTAACATCAAATGGAACAGTGACTGTGAACGATGAAATATATAAGTTGTTTGGAGGTGTCTGTCGTGGCTTACTTAAAATTGCAATTTACCTTTATGGACTGATAAAACCACGAAGTACCTCAGAATAGTCTGCTTGAGGTTCGTG